ATCGCAAAGTTACATAAATACTGTGTCTCGACTTTGTGTTCTCCTACAGTAGCAGATTGCTAGCCTTGAAGTATGAAGATTACGACAAGGGAGTGTATCACCTTTTAGTTGCTGTCACGATCTAGTCGATCCTTTAGCATAATTTTTGTAATGCATCGACCACACTACTTGCACTCGGAATAAGTAAATTTTGGGATTATGATAAAATATAGAAAACGATGGCCACTAGTTCGACGACCTAAAAAGAGGTTTTGAGTTGATTGAAAAGCGGGGAAACCAAATCACTCACCTGTTTGGCAGCATGCCTCAAAGGGCCGGCATCAGAACTTTAGTCGCCTGGGCGCGAAGCTGTCAGCCTTAACTAATTCCTCACATTCCACACTAGCCACACCATGTATCACAAATCAGGGCGTTGCGAGATGGACGTCGGGAGATGGGAGTTGGGAGATAGGAGGTGAGAGCGGAGAGTTGGGCGTTTGAAGGTGGGATTTGGAAATTAGGAGTTGGGAGTGGTTAGTGAAGAGTTAGGAGGTTGGAGTAGGGAATTGGATTTGGAAGATGGGAGTTGGGATAGGGAAATTTGTAATTGGGAGTTAGGAGTGGGAAGATGGGAGATGGGAGATAGAAGAGGATATTTTGGAGTTGGGAGTCGAGAATGGGGAGTTGGCAAGTGAGAGATTGGAGGTTTGAAAAAGGAGATAAGATTTGAGATGGGAATTTGTTATTTGGAGTTGAGAGTATGATTGGGGACTTTGAAAGTGGGAGTTAGGAGTGGGTAGTGAGGAATTGGGAAGTGAGAAAGGAATAGGTAGGCAGGGGATGGGAATTTTGAGTTGTGGATGGGGAGTTGGGCGAAAGGATGGGGAGGGTCACGTTTGGCATAGGCAGATTGGCCGAGTTGACGCCGGTACCGTTTGGTGGGTGAACAGTATGAAGTGGAGGAGGGATGGGGCCGAGGCTGAGCAACGTTCGGCTCGTGTATTGAGGCCTCGGGCAAGCAGGGCCGTCGAGCACGCATGTACACCCAGCACGCCTCGGCCTACGTGAGAAGCGGAGCTAAATTCCGGGCGAAAGAAGAGGCGCTGGCCTGATTTAGGATCCCCGGGCTGGAGGCGAGCCTGTTGGCAAGACGACAATGGCCATAAGGCATTGTAATGGACGTCCGCACAAGCGATGCTGTATCAAGCCTCCGGACGGAGTCTGACTAGCCAGA